AGAGGAGCCTAGTGGGCTACAGTCTGTGGGGTCGCAGAGTTGGACACGACTGAGCGGCTAACGCACACGCTGGGATTTATGATCCCAGGCCTTTAGAGGGCCCAATAAGGTGATCTTGCCGAGACACCCTTAAACGTCTAGTGACTTCTTTGTTCTCTGTTCTTATTTAAGAAACATCAGAATGGCTTAAAAGCTTGGCTAGGGGCTGTTAACTGATGGCGTCACTGTACAGTTTCCTGTAGACCTATACTCAGGCCTCACTTTGTAGATGTGCAAATATTAGCATCTGAACGGTTTTTTCCTCTTGGGTTTTCTTTGTTCATTTGTATTGTTATTGTTGTATGTTTCAGAAGAGGGTGTAAACATGGCTGCTATTATTCTAGGAGGTGAGTAAGGGCAAGGGAATTAAGTTCTCACAATGCAGGATATAAAATTTAACTTTACCTCTTTGTTTTACCTTTTTGTCTTACTTTCCTAAAATATTCCTGAGGCGAGAGTTCTGGTTCAACTTTTCCAGTGAGAATGCCTGTCTTCTGTTGGGGTGGGAAAGTTTTAGGTGCCTAGCTGTGCAGTGTTAGGGCTGGCATCTAGAGATGGAATTGCTTTTTATACAGACTTTCAACTAATCTTGTTTTTAATCCATGCCCCATTCAAAGCGACAGATACCTCCAGTTCTGCAGCCCTTTTTGTCTTGCTTTTTGGCTTTTCTGATGCAGATGCTTTTCGGTGCTGTTGTTGCAGCATGTGGGGTCTAGTTCCCCAACCAGGAATGGAACCTGGGCCCCCTGCATCGGCAGCATGGAGTCTTAACCGCTGGACCACCAGGGAAGTCCCTGGCTGCAGATGCTTAAATGTCAGCTTTCTCTGCTGTGTTAAGTCTCCATTTGTCCACCTGCTTGCCATTTTCCAAGTAGTATTCTAGCAGCAAATCACCTATCTGAAAAGAATACACATCTCAACTCCTTTGTATCTAGTTATGGTCACATTACTAAATTCTGGCCAAAGGGGAAATGCTATGAAAAATATCTGGAATAGCCCCTTAACAGGATTTGATTTGGCTGTAGGGCACATCCTTTTATCCTTCTCTTCTTCCTGAAAGGTAAACATGATAGCTGAAACACCAGTAATTATTCTGAATTCATGAGCGAATCTTCAGCAAGGAAGCCACATACTGAGGATGACAAAGCAGAAATATAGGAGCCTTGGTCCCTAGTAGCTATAGAGTTACCCAAGACTAAAACCAGACTTCTTTGATACTAACAGTAATTCGGATAAATCCTATCATGTACCACTTTCCTTCAAAAGAGGGGGAAAGACTATGATACACTGATAATTGTGTACATGGCGTTACTGAGCATGCTGTGGACAGGATAGAATGTCCTTTTTGACTAGGAGGATTAAAAATAGACTTCTCTCTCCTTAACAATTTACCTATCTAGTGACTGGAAGAATTTCCAATAGACTGACTTTTACCTCCTTTCCTTTGAGTCTTTGTTTCTGCTCCACTAACTCACATATTAATACTTATGGGGTCATCCATTGTAGGAAAAAGTCACATTGCAATGTATCTTCTAGTTCTGCAATTTTACAAGACGGGATCCCAGGTGAGCTGGCGCAGAGGGCAGTAGGAATATTCCTGAAAGTCATTTCTATACCTGGAAGGCTAGTAATACTTACGTCTACACAGAAGTACTGCATCACACATGATCACATTCCATGAAACTCAAACCAATGTGTGTGCAGTTCAACTTCCCATTAACTGGATCCCAAAATGCTTATGGCCTTTCAGTGTGACATGACTAAGGGGAAGTCTATCAGAGGGAACGTCAGAATGGAAATAAATAGTGATCCTAGCTGACTGTGATTGAAATATCTTTGGCAAATTCTACTCAAATATATGACCACTTGAGATCATTTCTACGCCCTTCATGGGCTTGGAAGCAGTCTGTGTGGGTGAGGGACCCTGAAGCTTAAGCTCCATTAGCTTCATCGTATACTTGCGTCCCGATTGGACAGGTGGAATAATATTTATCAAACAGGAACACTTAGTTTACTTATGTTGTTGCAATCACAGTACCAGGAGAAACAACAGTCACTATGCCCAAAATGTTCATTTGAATGAGACGCAAGAACATCCTTTTATTCACAATCCAAGCACTTTTCTGTGATCTTAAACACTGCCTTCTGCATAAATTCCTTCCAAACTTCACTTCTGTTTCTCCCTCTTTTTGTGGTGCAGGAATTTCACACTGTGAGGTCTCATCCTTTTTGTTGGATCTATTTCCAAATATCTTGCTGACCGAGACCCATTCTCAGCAAATGAGTCATGTTCACCTAAATCTGCTAATTCAGTACACTTTACTTCTAACTTATTAGTACACAAAGTAGTTTTCAAACACATATATCCACGTGATACTTTAATCCTTCATATAATCCTAACGAGATATATCATGCATACTCTTATACTGTACTCAGAAAAGTTTCGTGTTTTGTACACATTAATTTTATACATTTCCTCAGAATATATTTTTCTTTTGAGCAAGACTACACTTCGTTATGGGGGCTTCCCAGGTGATGCTAGCGGTAAAGAACCGCCTGGCAATGCAGGAGACTAATAGACGTGGGTTCGATCTTTGGGTCGGGAAGATCCCCCGGAGAAAGGCATGGCAACCCACTCCAGTATTCTTGCCTGGAGAATCCCATGGACAGAGGAGCCTGGTGGGCTAGGGTCCATGGGGTCACAAAGAGTCAGACACAACTTGGCGACTGCAGAACACCACTTCATTGTAAGTGAAAGAAAACGGCAGCGTAGCAACGGGGGTGGACGGTTCCTCTGGTGTGAGCAGCAGAGGCTGAAAGTAGAATCCACTGCTACGGAACTTTTACCATGATGGTTTTCATAAGATGTTTCCCGGCATTCTTCTGTCAGCTTTTAGGCTTTTTAGCTTCCACAGGCTTGCTGTCTTATCAGAGTCACAGGCTGCTTAAGCGGATACGCTGGAGAGCAGTGTAATTTCCTTGCACACATGGGTTTCAATTCTACCGAAATTGAAATTTTACTAATAACTGCTGTTTCAGATACCACATCAATCAAAGTTAACTAACAAACACTTGCTGAGATTCTATATTGATGTAAAAATATGCAATAATGGAATGGAAAAATAATACAATAATGGAAATATAGGCACTCCGATGTCATAAAGGGACGTAGAATTTGGGAATTTGAAACCAGATTGTTGGTTACGATTTGTGGAGTTTATTTCACAGCATTAGTATCTGAAGATCAAATTATCTTGGATTAGCAGCTATGGTGGATCATCCTATTGTGCAACGCAGAAACTTGGGTAGAATTTGATCTTGCGTAAAATTCATGTATCCATCAGCTGAGAGAGGACAAATAGGCTGGTCACGGATTGGCAATTTTGGCCTTTTTACTCCTTTAATTTAGCCTAGTTTGTTTTCTTCATCTTCACCTTCATTGTGTATTCCCTGGGCTAAAAATGGCATATTTATGTGTGCTTAATTGTATATATTGCAGACTTAATTTTTAAAATAAAACTATTTAGATGAGACAGTAGCAGTGTAAACATTTCACAGCTGCAAAATGTTTCCTTACTACCCCTCTTTTTTGTCACTCTCTCCTTCATACACATTACATTTTCAATTTCTTTTAATAGTTTCTCTAGTATTCTAAAATTATATGGTATAGAGTCTGTTAATGATAAGTGTAAACCTTGAACATTTCTGTGTAATAACTTTGACTTTAGACCTTTTATTCCCATTTCAAATATTAATTTTGGTTCACTTCTATTCAGGAGTATGCACTGTTCTACGATTAACTTTGCTCTGTGTTGAACTCTGGTATTGAACGTTATGGTCAAATCTGGGTTTTGAAGCTTTCAAAGCAACGTGATAGATACATTATTACATGTCCTTATGATTGCGGATCACTGCATAGTCAAGTGTTCCTGGAGAAAGAAAGTGACCTCTTGGCAACAACAACACTTGGGTAAAATTAAAAACTAATTCTAAACAAGAAAAAGAAAAACAAACACACAAGAACATCAATTGCTGCCTTTTTTTTAAATACAGTCCAAGCAGACAGAACTTTTATTAAACAGCAGATAGTAGTAGGCCAACCTGGAGGGAGAGGCCAGTTGCTGCCATTTGATATGAATTAGACAATGAATGAAATATGTTTTCTGGAATGATAAGTGACATTCTAGATTTTTAAAAACTGGCCAGCTATCATATTTGCCTGAAAAAAATTAAAATATTGAATGAAATCTCTCTTCTTTCATAAGTGAGCTTGAATGAACTTTTCTCCTAAGCCATATTAGTTTATAACAAAGGAAGCTAGTTTCAGTGAAGTCAAATAGCTTATAATAATAACAATAATTAAATACATGTTAGCTGACATAAAATGCATTAGAGCAAATAGAGAGGTGAAAAGCACCTTTTGAAGAACACTTTAATCTGATTCATACTTGTTACCTTAAAAAAACATGTAATTTCAAAGAATGATCTCTAGAAAGGAAATGAACATTTTCAATTCTAATGTTATCAAAAATATACATGAACAATTTTTAATTTTTCAAGGCCAACACACAGGAAGCCTTTCTGAAAAATGTATCTAGTTTTGTTCTGTGTTTACCATACAGGTCTCTTTTTAGAAATACTTTAGAAATATTATTATAGCCTATAATGAGAGATTACTCAGAACAAACCATCTGCTTTGCTGATATGTAGTTATCTAGAGCTGCTGCTGTTTGGTAACTGTTATGGACTGAATTGCACTTCCCCAAATTCACAGGTTGAAGTTCTGACTCCCAATGCTTTGAATTCCAATGTCTTTGAATATAGGGCCTTTAGGGCATTAAGGTTAAATGAGGTCATAAGGATGGACTCCTAATCTAATAGGATCCGTGTCCTTAGAAGAGGCAGAGACACCAGATATCTCTCTCTCTTTCTCTTCTCCGCTCCTCTCTCATCCTCCCCAGCATAGAGGGAAGGTCATTTGAGGACAAAATGAGAAAATGGTTGTCTGCAACCACAGGAAGAAAGTCCTCACCGAACACCAATCCTGACAGCAACTTGATCTTGGACTTCCAGCCTCCAGAGAGTGAGTAAATAAACTTCTGTTGTTCAAGCTACCTAGGCTCTGCTATTTTGTTATGGCAGCCTGGGCGGACTCAGATAGTAGATAAAGGCACAATTAAAAGGACTGTACATTAAATAAAATCCTGAGTCTGCGGGTTGGCAAGGTCTGATGTGACGGACAGTGTAGAGACACCACCAGATTCACCTTGGGGAGCATCAACATACCAGTTTTGAACAGAGGAGATGCTTCTAGTTAAAGCCTTACAATATAAGTAATTTGATGGTGATGACGCATCTACTTCACTCAGCTGGTCACTAAATTACAGATTCTAACAGTATTTCAAGAATTGCATAAGAGATTGAGAATTTGCCATTTCTATTATTGTTTTCTACTGTAGAAATTTTATTATTTTCTCTCAAAGCACTTCAGATGTCTGGACTTAGTAAATGGAGCGATTCAAAGCAAAGGCTTAATACTCTTTTTTTTTTTTTTTTAATTTGCTTTGTGTTGGGTCTCAGCTGCAGCACACAGGATCTTTGTTGCGTCATGCAGGATCTTTCATTGCGGCTCTTGGGCTTAGTTGTTTCCTATTTTATTTATTTACTTACTTATTTGTTTTGGCTATGCCACACAGCTTGTGGGATCTCAGTGCCCTGATCAGGGATGAAACCCTGGCCCTCGGCACCAAAATCTTGGAGTCCTAACCACTGGACTACTAGAGAATTCCCAATATGCTACATTTAAAAATCAGAAATAAGGAAAATGACACTCAGAAAGAAGAGAGCCAAAGGGAGAGTGCGGAGGAGAGGAAGCTGCAGAATGTGTTGGTAGATTGTGCTGGGCCTTTTTTCTCACCACCATGATCAACTCACAGTGAAAAGCATGCTTACTAGTCAGTTTGTGCTTTAAAAATGAAAATATTTTATTGAAGCAGGTAGGCAGAATGATTAAAGAATGGGATCCTAGGGGAATATCTTTACCCCAAAATGGGTCATACTCATAACCGAGTCTAATCTCCTCCTTTTACAGGTGAGAACCTGAATGACCTAAGGACCACTGGTCAAGTGTCAAGGACTGACATGAGATCCCTGTCTCTGGTTACATAAACATAGGCTACACAATTTAGACACATGTTTTAAAAATGTGAACTCAATTATAATGTTACCATAACCACTAAAATTTAAACATTCTCAGCCATTAATTAAGCTAAACTAGGAATTATCCCTAGAGTTGAGCAGACTCCCCTAAAACCTTTTAACTTGGAAATCATCATGCTATGGGGGGGGATTCTCAGCCATTAATTAAGCTAAACTAGGAATTATCCCTAGAGTTGAGCAGACTCCCCTAAAACCTTTTAACTTGGAAATCATCATGCTATGGGGCGGGGGGGGGGGAACTATCAATATAATACTCAGGAAGGCTTTGTGGTTCTTACAGGCACCTCTTTCTCAATAAACCACTTGACTGAGGTATGAATGACATATCAAGGGCTATACATATTTATTGTATGCACCTTGATGATCTTGGATTTAAGTAGGTATCAGTGAAACCATCACCACAATCTATGCCATAAACATATCCATCACCTCCAAAAGTGTCCTCCTGCCTTCATTATTCTTATTTTTTGTGATAAGGACACTTAATATAACATCTACTCTTCACCAATTCCTAAATGTTTTTTGGCTGCGAGGGGTCTTTGTGTGGGGCACAGGCTCGCTAGTTGTGATGTGTCAGCTTAGTTGCCCTGGCATGCGGGCTCTTACTTCCCAGACCAGGGATCAAACCCATGTCCCCTGCATTGGAAGGCAGATTCTTAATCACTGGAACACCAAGGAAGTCGGTGCTTAATTGTCAACACAGGCACTCCACTGTCCAGTAGGGCTCCAGGAATTTTTCACCTTGCATGACTGAAACGCTGCACCCTCTGACCCCTTCTCTGCAGGCACTGACCTTCTAGCTTGGCTCAGTTTCCATTTAACCAACACCAGGAGCTTATTGGTTTCATGTTAACAAACAAAATATTTCAAGTGTTAACTAGTAAAAAGACTTAACTTGGCTTTTCTGTCTTTTTTGGTCAGCCAGAAGTTTCACCAGCGTCTCTTCTCTCTTTATGTTGGTCTTTGTAGCAAAACAGAATTGGGAGCAGTTGATGCAGAAGACCTTAGAGAACACTGTAACTGCATTTTCCTTAATTGGTTTTATTGGCTATTTCTCAGTTGCTTCCCGTTTCATGTTCCATGATACCTCTAATTCCTAGATGTTTATTTATTAATTTTTAGACCACACATTTTAAAAGTCACTAATGGCTCTTCAAGATCACATCCTTTATAAATCTTCTTGAGTATTTTAAGCATCCCATGACCATCCATGCAATCCAGTCCTGCTAGCAACTCAAAACAAGTAGCAACAGGACTTTCCTGGTGGCCCAGAGGTTATGAATCTGCCCTTCCACCACAGGGGACGCAGGTTCGATCCCTAGCCAGGGAACTAAGATCCCACAGGCTTCACGCTGTGGCCAAAAATAAATAAACAAGTGACATCAAAATGACTGAGAAGCCTGAGAGGCGAATCCTTGGTAAGGGTGATTATTAATGTGATGCATGCATGGCCAAGTTGTAACATTGCTTGAGAGAAGACCTTGATGCGACATCCTCTCTTGAAGGACCTAGTACTGCATCGGGTCCAAGTTCTAAATGTATCAAGGGTAGGGGAGCCATAAAAGTGGTCTCCATTTTCCCGAACCACGACCTCAGCGGGGAGACGCTCTCACAGCACAAGCCGGGCTGTGGCCTCACAGTGCTGTGTAGCCCCCCAGTCCTAGGGGATCTGGCAGCAAAGACGCCTTTCCTCCGAGAGGCTCACTGTCCTCACATCCAGGAGCGGTTACGGCGAGCAAGGCAGCTCATCTCACTGCCAAGAGGGAGGGGAGTCAAAGGGAGCCTCAAGTAACTTAGTACCAGGACATTCCAGGCTCTAAAATAGCTGCCTTTACCTCATGGGTCATTTGAAGAAATCTATACAGAACTTGAAAACAAGTTGTCCTGGAACCTTCCCCAACGAAGCAAGGTCCTGCCAGACATTTCTGCTCATTCCCTTTGTTTTTGTTTTCTAGAGTTTCTTCGTCGGTTTAACATTTTTCCTGCCTACTCACTCACTCCCTGGCCGGTTTAATTCTCCTCTGGGTATAAGCCAGTATCATAGTAGATACATGGATACGCAGTTTCCTCAGCACCTCCTCTTTCCTTCCAGCCACGGCTAGGCTCCGGTATGGAGGCATCCACCGCCTCTGACACACGTCCATCCCCTGGCCCCTCACCTTCTCACTGTCCCTATCCGTTGAATGACTTTACCATCCACCTGGCCATTCTCACTAGACACCTCAGTCACCCCGCCTCCTTTGCTCATTTCTCTTCCCCCCAAAACGATGCCTTTCAAACAGGCATCGAGTCTGGCCACTTCTGTCTGTAGAATGTTTTTAGAGTCCAGGGACTTTGCAGGAAGTTTTCAGCTTGTCTCAGCCCAAAGTGTCTCTGTTTCCATTTATCCTCCACATCATCATCAATTATTCTTCCAAAACAAAACTCTGATTTTATTTCTCTCCTGTTTAGTAACATCTGATGCTCACCCACTGTTTCCTCCACAGTGTAGGACTTCTCGGGCGGTCCAGTGAGCGAGACTCCATGCTCTCAGTAGAGGGGGGCCGGGTTTCATCCCTCGTCAGGGAACTAAATCCCAGAGGCCGTAACTAAGACCCAGTGCAGCCAAAAAAAAAAATAGACAAATGTTTAAAAAAACTGAATACGACTCTGCTATGTCCCTTCACCCTCAATCAAAACTCATCTTTCTGCCAACCCGTTCTCTTGGTTCACTTATTGTTGTTGTTGTCGTCCAGTTGTTCACTCGTGTCCGACTCTTTGAGACCCCGCGGACTGCAGCACTCCAGGCTTCCCTGTCCATCACCAACTCCCGGAACTTGCTCAAACTCATGTCCACTGAGTCAGTGATGCCATCCAGCCACCTCATCCTCTGTCACCCTCTTCTCCTTCTGCCCTCAAACTTTCCCACCATCAGGGTCTTTTCCAGTGAGTTGACTCTTCGCATCAGATGGCCAAAGGATTGGAGCTTCAGCTTCCTCACCAGTCCTTCCAATGCATATTCAGGACTGATTTCTTTTAGTATTGACTGGTTTGATCTCCTTGCTGTCCAAGGGACTCTCAAGAGTCTTTTCCAGCACCACAGTTTGAAAGCATCAATTCTCTGGTTACTCAGCCTTTCAGCCAGCTTTCCCAACATCTTAGCCCAGAAGTGGTTTCTTAATATGCTATCTAATTTTTCATTCTATTTCTTTTTCTGGGTTCTCAACATATTTTTTTTCTTCTCATTTAGGTCATGCTTTGCACATCTATGCTGAGGGTTTTATTTTATTATAATCATAAGAATATCAACCTTATCCAAGTCTGCTGTCTTGCCAGAAAGGGTTCTAAATCTGAAGTCCAGAATACTATCCAGTCTAAGTAAATAAGTGTTAGTCGCTCAGTCGTGCCCGACTCTGCGACCCCATGGACTGCAGCCCACCAGGCTCCTCTGTCCATGAGATTTTCCAGGCAAGGATACTGGAGTGGGCTGCCATTTCCTTCTCCAAGTCTAGTCTTAGTCTTGTACAATTTGGCAAGCATTTCAGTCATTGACAATGTTGCTTTCCCAGGGTAAAGGAAATACTTGATCTACTCTTCCCAACAAAGCACTCATTTGTCATGAATTTCCTGTTCTAAAAGATATGGGAAAAAAATTTAAAAAAATGAAAGATATGGAATCAGGTGTCATGGAGGCTCATTTCCTGAGCAGAGAGAGAAGTATCCTTGGACTTTAAAATCAATCCTTTAATGAGGACGCTTTCTACCCACCCCATCCCCAAAACAAAGGTCAAAATTAACACCTTCGTACTGAATTCTGGGCATTGCATTATCTTTGCAGATACAGCACCTAGTGAAGGAAGGGAAGCGCTCTACATCTTTAAAGGTTATTTCCGGGAAAAAGAACCACAGGCTCCTTAGTAGTAGCACATAGACAGCTGTATGAACATTATGAGCGTGAATGACAGTGATCGTGAGAACTGCTGAGCTGACCTCGTTCAAGGAGGCGTATGTCCAACTCCATCAGCTTCCAGAGGCCATTCTTCCTGCCTCTCAACTCCCACAGGCAAAGGGCTGAGAAGTCTGGGAAGGAGAATCACATTGACACACACAGTATCCGCAGGTATTTATCATAGCTGAGTGGTTGATTGCCGCCATTACTCCATTAGCCTACTAGATTCAAGAAGAAAAATCAACCAACACACGTTTATTGACAAGGAAAGGTTGTATCACCACCGCACCATGTCAGAAACACAGCGGGAAGGCAAAAGAAGTCTAAAGACTGGAGGGGAAGATATATATTCAACAAATTATCACAATTTATTAAGTAAATTAAGAATACAGTAAGAAATACAGGCTGCCAACAATAGAAACCCAACACATGAATGCATGCATGTGCATACACACAAAACAAAGCTCGAAATGAATCTACTTTTCTCTGCCTCAAATGACAGCTTTGTTAATTCACAGGTCATATAAATAGCAGCTTCTATATAGAATTTCTACATATCCCTTTTCTGTTGTTGTTTATACCTGTCTGATAAAAGCAAGCAAACATGAGTGCTACTGATGTCAACAGGCAGGGTTGATGCAGTAAATTTATTCAAAATGAGTAACTGTTACGGGTTCTGGTGTCAATTGACAAGCTATAGATGAATTTAAGAATTTGGATAAGCAATAGAGCACAGTGGCTGAAAGTAGGCCCCTGGAGCCAGACTGGCTTCTGTTCTATACTTATCTATACATATCTAAAAGATCCACTACTTACTAGCAGTGAAATCTCATACAGGCATCTGTAAAGTGAAGATAAACAATCTCATTAACAACCTCATCGGTCGGTTGTTATGAGAATTAAATGAGTTAATGCTTGTAAAGCACTTAGCTCCTGTTACAGAGGAAATGCTCTACAAATGTCACCTATTGTTTTTACTCAAACAAGGCCAGTTTTTTAGCCAGTTGAACACAGTAATACTGATCTCATGGACTCAAACGAGATTATTGCAGAAGTGTATCTCGGTAAGTTTACTAAGCATAGACAAGAGGGTCCAGGAACTTAATTCCACATTTGCTGTCTCTAGGGCTGAGTCTTGGTTACACTGAGAATATTTTCTGATCTAGAATGTGACATTACTCTAGTATTTTAACATACTCTAGTATGTTAATATGTGTGGTAGTTACAGCAGCAGTAGATAGTCTTCATGTATATTAGCTTTCTTTAGACTAGAAATGTATTTTTTTAAAAAATACATTTTGGGGACTTCCCTGGTGGTCCAGTGGTTGAGACTTCCCCTTCCAATGAAGGGGGTGCGGGTTCAATCCCTGGTTGGGGAGCTAACATCCCATATAAAACAGAAGCAATACTGTAGCAATTCAATGAAGACTTGAAAAATGATTCATACCAAAATATATTTTTAAAAATATATTTGTCTTATTATATGAATATATTCTGTCTGATTTAACCTAATTGTGACAAATTAAGGAAAGAGGTGATAGGGTCTGAAATGCTGATGGAAGCTTTTACTATGTGGAACACCTTAGATTATAAATCTCTACCGTGCTATTAATAGTTATATCATCAACAACAGTTTTTCAGACTTTGTGCTTCACTCTGGAGCATCTTGAATTTCTTCATTGGGTAATCTAAAACCGAGTTATAATGTGGACACCAACTAGACACCTCATGTTACTTGAGTTCAGCCTCAAAATTGTAAACAAAACCAGAAAATATGCTCTCTCTCAACGCTGTTACTATTAAAAAAACATAGTCAAATCAACAACGTAGTATGAGTATATATAACCATATATCTTTTAATTAACTTTGTTTTGCGCTTTAAAAAAAAACCCACAAAACCTCATTTTAAATTCTTAATTCTAATTCTACTCTACTCAAATAGACTATAAAGGGAATACATACCTAGTGCTTACTGCATTCCAGGCACTGTTCCAGTCATTAGTAAGTTCTGATTCTAATGAGAAAGCCATATACAGTAGTTTCAGCTTTTCTATTACTCAAGAACCTCAAGGAGGAGAAAGTGGGGGCAAACCGAAGAGTGAAGTTCGTAGTCTATAGACCGGGGTTCTTTGCAAACCATTTATATCGGCACCCAATTTTATGAGCTAAAAACCTTGTATAAATTTGTATTACTGTTCTAGAAACAGAGTGGCTTATTCCTGTTTTAGAGAGAGCTGGTTTTTCAGGGGGACTGTGTTGCACTTGACCCCCTGGTTGGTTCAGCGATAAAGAATCCACCTGCAAAGCAGGACGCGGCGGGGCTGAGGCGGGGGGAGGGGGGAGGGTTTCGTTTCAATCCTTGGGTCGTGAAGACCCCCTGCAGAAGGAAATGGCAACCCACTCCAGCATTCCTGCCTGGGAAATCTCATGGACAGAGGAGCCTGGCGGGCTACAGTCGACCGGGTCGCAAAGAATCGGACACGACTTATCGACTATAAACAACAAATGTTCACTTGGCCTGCTCTGATACCTATTAGCCGTCCCCATTCTGCTTCTGTGGGACAGAGGCAACGACGGGCAAGGAATGATGCCCTTAGAGCAAAGATCAGCTGTCAGGCCAGCCACGAGGACCCAGGCTCGCCGGCACCGGGTTTTTCCCCGCGACCCCCGCGCCGACCGGGGGCGGGGCACCTGCGGGCTGCAGAAGGGGCGGAGCACGTTGCGGGCGAGGCTCTGGAGGCGGGGCCGGGGGACTCGGGGGCGGGCCTCCCGGGAGCTGTGGCGACGACCTCCGCGGACGCCGGGCGGGTACGCAGGCTCGGTGGGCCGCCGGGACGGAGCGAGCCAGCGGTCCAGGGAGAGAACTGCTGACCGGTCACCGGCTGTGGGCACGATGAGACCCGGAGAGGAGCGGCCGGTGGAAGGGGGTGCCTGCGCCAGCGTCTCCGATCTGGAGCTGCTGAAGCTGCGCGCTGCGGAGTGCATCGACGCGGCGGCCGAGCGCCTGGGGGCCCTGAGCCGCGCCATCTGGAGCGAGCCCGAGCTGGCCTACGAAGAGCATCAGGCCCACGGCGTGCTGACGCGCTTCTTCCAGAGCGAGACCCCGGCCGGGTCGTGGGCGGTGCAGCCGCACTACCAGCTGGCCACGGCCTTCCGCGCCGAGTGGGGGTCGCCGGGGGGCTGGGCGGCGCCGCGCCCGCTGCACCTGGGCTTTCTCTGCGAGTATGACGCGCTGCCCGGCATCGGGCACGCCTGCGGCCACAACCTGATCGCCGAGGTCGGGGCGGCGGCCGCCCTGGGCGTCAAGGGGGCCCTGGAGAGCCTCGCCGGACTGCCTCTGCCGGTGAAGGTGAGGTGGGACCCGGGAGTGGGCTGCCTTTGCCTGCCCAGCCGGACCTACCGCAGAAGGGCGGCAGCTGGCGCTTCCCGTGCGCATCAGTCCCTTCCCACCCCGGGGCAGGTGTCAGAGACCGCGCTCCGAGTCCTGGCCTTGGCTAGAGTGGGCAAAACCCCTGCGTCAGTCAGTAGTGCATGAGTTGCCGACCTAGCGACATTTTACAGATTTTTGCTTTTTCTCTCCTGTGTAGTTGTAAACAACTGAGTCGACGTTCTCCCTTAGGAAAGAACCTTAGAACCAAGCCTGGTTTTCGTGATGGCTTATTTTTGGTAACGGGCAATCGCAATTGTCTGACAAGGTTGTGCAATCTCTAGAAGGAAGTAGTTATTGTAGGGAAACCTGCAGACCCGCTTTGTTAGACTCCAAAAAATTTTCTTTTTTGTGGCAGTTCTAGAAGCTGTTGTGATTCGAATCACTGGAGTTTGGATAGGAAATGTTCACCCGTTAGAACTACAAAACCTCTAGAAGTATACAGAAAATGGGAGGAGAGTGACTATTAAGAACATAGATGAGTTGATCCTTAAGTCTTATGGTTTATTTCGCGATTTAAAGAAATTAACTCGAAATTAAACAGGGAAATGTTGTTTATGTTAGCCATAAGGCAAGTTTAATCTTGTGTTACTCTGTTTTTCCAGATGGAATATTCTTCATTTTGTGAGCTAAGATTCAGTCAACACCATTCCGGTTAAGGGGAAGACTAGTGTTATATTTCATATTCTTTAGCCCATTTTTTCCCCAGAGTCAGTAACCTTTCTGTTTTATTCTAACAGTTCCATCTTTTGTGGCTTTTTCTGTTTAGCTGCCTTCTCTTTTCTGCCTCTGACTGGGCCTTTGTTTTTCATCTGGCTAGGATTTTGTTTTGTTTGGGGCAGGAGGTGTCCTTGCTTTTGCGTGAAACACAAGAGGTTTAACTTTAAACCAGGTTTATGGAAGGTTCAGAGAAGTCAGCAAGATTTAACCTGAAAAGTCATCAGATTTCTTGAGTCAAAGGTTAAGAGTAAAAAGCAGCTTAATATAAGAGTTTGAATGCCTGGAAATATACACACTTCTGATTTTGAACCTTAATACTCAGAATTAGAAGGTTATCTATCTTACCTGAAAACGGAGTTTATGTTGATTCTCTTTGCAAGCCAAGACTTTTTCCAGCTTTTTTCATTGTGTTCTTACACATGACCTTGAAAGTATATTAGTTGTTTATAGTAAATTTTTATTTACTTTTAAAAATTGTTTGAAGAAGTTAAAGTTTAAATATCGAAGTAAAATGTTTATTCTGTAAAGTTCTCTTTTGTTTAATTAGGTGTTTGGTGACCAATAAATCTGCCTGGTTGAGCTGGTGGAATCGAATTAGTAAGTTTGTGTAACAGTTGGCCGTCTCTAACCGTGGTATTAAGATTTATTTAATACTTTTCATAAAGGATTAATGTGTTAAGACCTTTTAAAGAGGTAGTTTAGTAAAGAAACAAAGTTCAGGCCTGAAGGTCAAAATATCTCTTCCCAGCTCTGCCTTAAGACTTGCTCTGTGACCTGGGGCAAGACACTTCACTCCCTGCCTCCAAACCACCTTTCTTAAAATGATGACAGGGTCTCTTACCTACCTCACAGGGTTGTTGTGAGGATAACTAGTAAGTAACTAGAAAGTTCCTTACCAGTAAAGTGATTATGAATCATTATATACACATACATTAAATAAAAGCTTTAAGAAATCAGTCCTAAATAATTTTGAGGGACTTAGTATATAGTACTTATCTTTTTTCATCTTTGACATTAGTTATATAAAATTGTGTTAGAAGATTGGGAAAATTTTCCTGTAGAGGTTTTAGTACATACTTTGCAATAAATTGGTATAATAATGTCAACTGCAAGTTTGTGATTAATTTAGCACCATAGATTTACGCCCACTGCATTATTTGAGAGTCAGAGAACAAAATCTCTCTTCATAGTTTGATATAGATTGTGAATATATATGCAAGGAAATATGACTGACATTTCCTACTAGGAATTTTTGTCCCTCTGACACAGGTGTTTCTTTCTAGGTGATTGTCCTGGGAACCCCTGCAGAAGAAGATGGTGGTGGCAAAATTGATTTAATTGAAGCCGGGGCTTTCAAAAATCTTGATGTTGTTTTTATGGCCCATCCATCTCAAGAGAATGCCGCTTATCTACCTGACGTTGCTGAACATGAGTGAGTAATCAAGTTGAAAGAGACTTCTTATTATTCATTTATTTTTGTACCAGGGTGCATCATTGAAGTGGTTTAAATTTTTACATCAGACGTTTCAGCCGTAATCGTTGATGGTCAGTTAGTAGTCTGGTTCCAAGGAGCCACTGCTCAGGTGCTTCAGGAAAACCCTCCATTCTCCGCAGTAGCTGGAGAGGAGTAGAGGGACCGGCCGGCCGTGCTAGTGACAGGTCAGTTACCCGGCCTCTCTCTGCATCCCTGTTTTCAGAGGGTGAGTGTTTTAAGTGTCCTGGTGTCTTTGGCCTTATCACTAGCAACTGGTGTTGTGACAGGAGGAGGAGTCTTCCATCGTTGGTTTCAGGGGTGATGTATAGTGGCACACCTCTGGACAGCCTTAGAGGTTGGAAATCTCTGCCAGTGTCTCTGGCCTGAAGGGGCCAGAGGCTGCAGGCAGGCGTCCCAGTCCATCAGCCTTCTAGGATTTAGGTTAGGTAGGTTTATTGGCCTTTATCCTGAAGTCAGCCCTTTTGGCCTCAGGCCTTTTCTTAGTATCTGACTTCTTAGATTTTCATTGGCCATCTTTTAAGGTGGAAAAAAGAACAAGAACAAAAATTACTCATCTATTTATGCTAAAAATCTGTAACAATAAATAAAGCACTGTGTCCCTATTACTCACCTTCCCCACATCCAGTCCTTTTCTGGAGATATATATTCTTCCAGAGCATTTAGGGTGTATTTATAGCCATAAAATAGGTACTTGTATAAAGTAAATTTTAAAGGAGGATTCCCCCCAAAAATATTCTTCTAAATATATTGTTGATCTTGCTCTTGCTTTTTAAATTAAACAGTATCTCTTGAATACCATTCCATATCACTTTTTGAATGTTTTTAAGCCTAAAATACTAATACTAATACAAAACAAGCATTAACATTTCTTTTCCTATAGTTTATTGTGCTTTAATTGTACATAGATTTGAATCCTAGAAAAAATAGTGCTAGAATCCTTTTCATAAAGGACATCCTTTTCCATTTTATAATATTTATCACCAGTTTTGTTAAAATTCCAGTTTCTGGGTGAGGGTGATAAGATATATATATTGAAGAAATAAAGAGTATCCTAAAATTTTTTAAATGTATTTTACTTGAATGCTTTTACTTGTTTTTGTTTTGCTAATTGAATGTTTGGAATCAGTAAAGAAATGTCATGAGCTTCCTGAATCTACTCATTAAAAAAAAATCTAAGTGACTTTTTATTAATTTACACGTGGGTATTATTACTCAGTCTTAAAAAGTATTATCTAAGCAAGTCATCTTTGTAAATAACTATTTAATATTCAATCCTTTCTCTAAACCTTCAGTTCAGTTCAGTTCAGTCGCTCAGTCCTGCGACCCCATGGACTGCAGCATGCCAGGCCTCCCTGTCCATCACCAACTCCCGGAGTTTACTCAAACTTATGTCCATTGAGTTAATGATGCCATCCAGCCATCTCATCCTCTGTCGTCCCCTTCTCCTCCCGCCTTCAATCTTTCCCAGCATCAGGGTCTTTTCAAATGAGTCAGTTCTTCGCATCAGCTGGCCAAAATATTGCAGTTTCAGCTTCAGCATCAGTCCTTCTAATGAATATTCAGGATTTCCTTTAGGATGAACTGGTTGGATCTCCTTGCAGTCCAAGGGACTCTTCAAGAGTCTTCTCCAACACAAGTGTTCAAAAGCATCACTTCTTTGGTGCTCAGCTTTCTTTATAGTCCAACTCTCACATCCACACATGACTACTGGAAAAACCACAGCTTTGACTA